AAGAACGTTTGAAAATTGTACTACAGACTAAGGTTTACAATTCACAGGATTTATTTTTGAGGAGGAGACAGGAAAGTTTAACTGTTCAAAATGACACTAGTCATCAGTTTTTGTCATGTGCTAGATACTGTAGGGTATGGTATATTCATTATTCACTATTAATAGAATGAAGTAGGTATTTTTGTCTTTGTTTTTTCTTCTACACATAATAATATCTAAAACTTATTGAGCTCTGCACATGTCGGGTTAAGTATTTTACTTGCAATATCTCATTTGAGCTTCTTAAGAAAGCAATGAGGTAATTGTTGTTCCTACATTTCCTAATGGGAAAACAGATCTAGAAAGTTATGTGACTTCCCTAAGGCCATTCACCTAGTTTATTAGAGTTAGAATTTTATACCCAGGTCTGCTTGACTTCATAGCCTCTGCTCTCATCGCCTGGCTTATAGTTTCATTAGGAAATTCTGCCTTCTTACATCATGTATCCTACTTTTTGCTTTTCAATTAAAATATTGGAATCTAAATGTGGATGGCAAAGGTGCAGATTTTTTTTTTTTGAGACAGAGCCTCCAGCTGTTGCCCTGGGTCGAGTGCCATGGCATCACAGTTCACAGCAACCTCCAACTCCTGGGCTCAAGTGAGTCTCCTGCCTCCGCCTCCCAAGTAGCTGGGACCACAGGTGCCTGCCAAAACGCCCGGCTATTTCTTGGTTGCAGCCGTCATCGTTGTTTGGTGGGCCCAGGCTGGATTCAAACCTGCCAGCTCAGGTGTATGTGGCTGGCGCCTTAGCTGCTTGAGCTACAGGCGCCGAGCCAGAGGTGCATATTTTGACAGCACTGATCTTGATGTTAGAAATTGAGATGGTGATCTTGAGATAAAGTAGGAGAAATGATCCACTTGGTGGGGGTGGGGGGAAATAGATTTATATGTATTTGATTTTTTAGTCTAATGGTTTAAGAACTAAAAACAAAGACTTGGCCAGTTATACCGTGTTTCCCCCAAAATAAGACCTACCCCAAAAATAAGCCCTAGCAGGATTTCTATGCATTTGTTAAAGCCTTACCCCGATAAATAAGACCTAGTGATGGGCATGCCTATGCAGCGTATCTGCATAGCCACGCCATGCATTTCAGCAAGGAAGACTGGAATACCTTTTATCTGCCACAGTTCCTTTCTCCGAGCCATTCGCACTTGCGCGGGTGTCGGTGTGGTTACCGCTGTTGAAGGCATCCTATTGCACACGTGCGAATGGCTAGGGAAAAGGAGTTCACGCATCACTAGTGCCAGCCCCACCAACAGTGTCGTTGGCTCCCCCATCAGGTTCCAGAAGACAATGACTTAACTGTATTTGAATAAATGTAGATTGTTGTATTATACTTAATAAAAATAAGACATCCCCCTGAAAATAAGCCCTAGTGTGTCTTCTTGAGAAAAAATAAATATAAGACAGTGTCTTAAGGATGTTGGACTTGCCCTTAGGTGCTCAATATCTATGCACTTAGTACAGAAGCTTATTCTGATATAGCCCGTTATTATGGTAGAGTGTTCCAAGGCTTTGCTTTATAGCTGGCAAGAGCAATACAAGAAGAAAATGGGGCAGTCATCTGGGAAAAGGGATTAGGTGATGCTTCACATTGAGGTAACATTCAAGGGGGAGCTTAAAACAGGATAAATATTTTGAGGGGAAGATATTGTGTAAAGGTATAAAGATACAAAAATCCATGGCTTGTTCAGGGAACAATGAATGCGAATGTGGCTAGGCCACAAGAGGAATTAACCAGCCAGGGAAGGTTGGGGCTAGATTATGAAAGACCATCTATGTCTTACTAAGTCTGTTTAGACTTCATATTTTGGGTAGTAAGGAAATACCAAAGTTTGTGTTAACTTTTTATTTGGATATACTCAGCCATATCCAACTTCAACAGTTACTAACTCATGGCCAATCTTATGTATAACCTGTATTCTCTTTCGTATTTTGAAACAAATTCCTATACTGTATCATTTCCATAAATATTTCACCATGATCTTGTTAAAAAGTATAAAAATATCCAACTGATGTTCAAATTTCCAATGGCTTCATAACTGTCATTTCAAGTTCTGATTGTTCACACACTGAAATTGACATTTCTTTTCAAATTTTAATAGTTCACACGTTGAAATTAGTTGACATCTCTCTTAAATCTTAGTCTCTAAGTTCTTTATTCATCTCTTTTTTTGTCCTTGTAATTTATTTATTGAAGATAATTGATTGTTTGTCTTGTGGTTTTCCACAGCTTGAAGTTTGCTGAGTACATCCCTAAGATACTATGTAACATATTCCCTTTTCTCTTTATTAATTTAGAGGCTTAATCAATTCAGGATCATTTTTTGCAGGAAGGACTACTTCTTGGATGGTGGGTGGTGTGTTCTTCCATCAGGAGGCACATAATGCCTCTTTTGTCTATTATCTGCTATTCCTTCATTACTAACCTTACAGAAGTCAAACTTTACTTCATCTACTACTTGGTCACTTGCTGGTACAGTTTGTATAGGAAAAAAACAGGATAAATGCTTGATTCTTTCTCATTGTTCACTAAATTTCAAAATATCAAGTTTACTCACTAACATCTTCTAATGGTAACTAATTAGTTTTTTTTTGGGGGGGGGCCCTCTTTCTTGCTTTTTCTTTTTTAGACAGGAATCTCATTCTGTTTCCTGGGCTAGGGTACAGTGGTGTCATAGCTTACTGCAACCTCAAACTGCTGGGCTCAAACAATCCTCTCATGTCATCCTCCTGAGTAGCTGGTATTATAGGCACATGCCACCGTGCCAGGCTAATTTTTTAATATTTTCTAGAGATGGAGTCTGACTGTGTTACTCAGGCTGGTCTCAAACTTCTGGCCTCAAGTGATCCTCCTACCTTGGCTAAAGTGTTAGTAGTATAGGATTAAGCCACTGTGCCTGGCCTAATTCATTTTTTTCTATGGTTTCATTATGAACTCATGGCTTAAAACATATCTGGTATGTTTCAATCCATTACAAGTTATTATCCTTATTAATGCTTGCATTGTCCCATCTTTGACCTGTGGGGGCATACACTACCTATAGGTTGGCTCCTGAGTGCCTTTGACATGATCCTGGTAATCTATGATGTCTTCCTTGCTTTCTTTCTGCTGTAATGTCATAGGCTCATCTTGGACATTTTCTTTTTGAGATCTGCAATCAGCCATTTTTCCCAAAAGTTTTGGTTCTTTTCAGTATAAATTGGTATTTCAAGACCATAATCTGGGCACTAGGCAGGTGCTAGATTGATTATTGTTTCTAGACTTCTTCAGTGAAGAGACCTAGTACTTAAAAGATTTTGATAGAATCTCTTCTCTTCTCTTTTCTTTTCTTTTTTTTTTGAGACAGTCTCATTATGTCACCCTTGGTAGAGTGCTATGATGTCACAGCTCACAGCAACTTCAAACTCTTGGGCTTAAGCCATTCTCTTGCCTCAGTTTCCCAAGTAGTTGGAACTACAGGTGCCTACCATAGTGCCTGGCTTTTTTTTTTTTGGTTGTAGTTGTTGTTGTTGTTTGGCAGGCTCCGGCTGGATTCGAACCTGCCAGCTCTGGTGTATGTGGCTGGCGCCTTAGCTGTTGAGCTGCAGGCGCCAAGCTGAATCTCTTCTCTTCTTATCTGCTTGCTCCCATACCAAGAATTCCAGGTGTCAATGATACTGAAAAAATGATAGAATTAGAATATTCTGGATCTCATATTTACTGTATCTTAACAATGATCATTAAGCTAGAGAATGACATAATATTGCAAAAGGGTAACTAATTGGATACTCAGGCGGAAGAAGGTGAGTTGGAACTGGGTAAACTGTTCCAGATTTCAATTTAGAGGCTATTGGTGGAGTTCTGAAAGAGAAGGACAGATTCTCAACTTGATGGTGGCAATTATAATGGAGAGGAAGTAAAGCACTTGAGAAGTGTTTCAGGGGAAATACCTGTAAGACTTGGTGACTGGATCTGGCAAGATGAAAATGATTGGGAAGTTGAAGATAAATTTTAGGACACCATTCAAGAATGAGTTTATTTAGTGATACAGAGGAGCAGCAGATGCTGGAGATGATGGGGAGGGAGAATAGGTATATCATCAAAGCAGTTAGAGTCAAGGAGTAGTGAGTGAAATTAAGGTCTTCATTATCAGCCTTAGTAGTTATCAGCCTACCATTATTAGTTTGGTATTTAAAGACATTCACTCTAGCCTCAAGTACCTTTCCAGTACTTTCCATTACCTAACAGATTCAGTCCGACCTCTCCCCTTACTTCTCAACTCTGTACCTCTTACCTCTGAGACACCTTTGCCTCATTAGTGGGAGTGTATGTCCCTCTTCTCTGCCAGTTAGGATCTTGTTCAAGATTGACGTGAAGGCACTTTTGAAATCTCGTACTACACTCCCCTGTATTTTAGTTATACATGGTTTTATATTGCCCGCTAATTGTTTGATTATTGTCTTGCTTATGCCACAAAGTTGGGCAATTCCACAGGTCACATCAGAGTTCTATATGTCATCTTTAAATTTTCCTGAGGAACAGACTCACTTATAGAAGAGAGTCAACATTTGTTGGCCAGTCAGAGCAAGAGATCTTAGGTTACTATCTGTTTACTGTTTGACATGTGCGTTATTAACTTTTGCTCTTCTTAGCTTCTAATAAACTAGTTTTTAAGGTGTTTTATGCAAAATCAGTTTCTCTTATTATTTTCTTTAGAGACAGAGTTTTGCTCTGTTGCCCAGGCTGGTCTTGAACTTCTGGGCTCAAGTGATCCTCCCACCTCAGACTCCTGAGTTGCTGGGATTACAGGCATGAGCAAGCAGTCTTTATTAGTGAATACTTCTAGAATGTTTCCATTTAGTATCCTTAAATTGTTTCCATTAAAAAGGAGCAAATGTAGTTTAGAAGGTTTGTAAACTTTGCAAAAAGGTCCTAAATGTCTATTAAATATTTTATAGCTTTCTTTCATCTCAACAGTGTTTTACCTCAATCATATATTCACACGAGTGCTTCTCTTAACATTTCTCGAAAATGGGAGAAGAAGAATAAGATTGTTTATCCTCCACAACTGCCTGGAGAACCTCGGAGACCAGCAGTAAGTATGTGGGTAAACCTAAGCCTTTAATCTTGAGGGTGCTCTTACTCGTAGGTGGTCAGCAGTGATTTATTATCCCCATGTTAAAAAAATAAAAACCGTACAACAATTTGCATGATTTTTTCATTGACACAGAAAATATACTAGATTTATCCCTTTGGTAGTTTGAAAAGTTGTCATTGCTGTACTTATTTGTTTGCCTTTACTTAACCTTCTAGATAAGGGCCTTATCTCTAAAGCTAAGCTAATATTAATGGTTTGAGACACTGATTTTTGACTCCCAAAAGTCTTGCTGATGAATTCTTTATAATAGAATGTGGAATTGGCTGGAATGACATAAACCATAGGCCAACGTTACCATATACGTGATTTTTCCAATGTTGAATATAGACACTTGGATTTATATTTTCTTTTTGTAAGTCACAGACTTTGGAACATAAGGTTTGAATTTTATCAGTGGGTTCCTACTAGAGATGTATCTTATCTTTAGCTGCATAGAACTCTTTTACTCTCTCCCAACTGTTACAGATGCTGTAGTCTGAGATATAAAAGATATATAACTTTCAGCTTAAGGTGAATTTACTTTGTAGTACAACAGTTAAAAAGTTTAAAATATACAATAGTTAAAAAGTTTAAACAAATAATAGTAGAATAAAGATGAGAACATTTGAATGTTTAAACTGAGATAAGTACTTTTGAAATAAAATTACTGTTTTAATTACAAACCATCCAGTTTAGCAGACCTCTTCTAAAGGCTTTTAAGATTCAAGGCTACTGCATCGTCTCTCATCTAAGTAATAAGAAGGACCTTGTTGTTTGCTTATTAGTATTTGTATGAATTTGAAAGCTGTATTTCATTAAGAAAAGCTCAGTGAGTTGCTGAATATGGTCTGGATTGATATGGTCATAGGTTTCCCTTTCCCTTTTTCTTCTGATTTGTGTGAGTTAATTTATTGATATTAAGAGCTTCCACCTGATTATGAAATTAAGAGGAGGAAGACATTCTGATCGTTTAAACACATAACTTCTTAACATTCATATTTTATCATGACACCAGAACTTGAAAGTTAAACTCATTACAGAATGTGGGCTATTGATTATTGATTCCATTTTGTAATTAGCCAAAATTTACAAAAAGTGACACAATTGCACAGATATCATAGATTAAATATTTCTTGTAGTTAACCAACTTTCCTTACTTTTTACCTGAGCTCTGAAATTAAATATTACTTAGAAATAAATCATAACGGTATTTGTCAGGTCCAGAATCTAATAGCAATTTTTTTTGACAGAGAGAGAATCTCACTTTGTTGTCCCAGGCTAGATTGCCATGGCATCAGCCAAGCTCACAGCAACTTCAAACTCCTGGGTTCAAGTGATCCTTCTGCCTCAGCCTCCTGAGTAGCTGAGACCACAGGTGCCTGCTACCATGCCTGGCTATTTTTCTTTCTTTTTTTTTGAGACAGAGGCTCAAGCTGTCCCCCTGGGTAGAGTGCTGTGGCATCACAGCTCACAGCAACCTCCAACTCCTGGGGTCAAGCAAGTCTCCTGTCTCAGCCTCCCAAGTAGCTGGGACCACAGGTGCCCGCCACAACACCTGGCTATTTTTTGGTTGCAGCCTTCATTGTTGTTTGGCCGGCCCGGGCTGGATTCAAACTTGCCACATTAGGTGTATGTGGCTGACGCCTTAGCCACTTGAGCCACAGGCACCGAGTCTATTTTTCTATTTTTAGTTGAAATGCGTCTCACTTTGCTCAGGCTGGTCTCAAACTCCTGAGCTCAAAGGATCTTCCTGCCTCAGCTTCCCAGAGAGCTAGGATTACAGGCATGAACCACTGTGCTTGGCCTTACTAGTGAAATTTTGTATAGTATAGTGCTAATCATTTTGGTTATTTATTAATTGATTGGTTAGTTGATGGAGTGGCTTAAAACAACAGAGATTTATTTTATTCTCTAACAGTTGTGGAGTCCAGAAGTCTAAAATCAGCAGGTCTCTGTTCCCTCTGGAGCTTTTTAGATACTTTAAAAAAATATACTTTAGGGTATATTTTGAATGGCAAAATTCAAATAATTGATAGTATGTCATCTACTTAACTCTAGCAAATGAAGAACAATGTCAGTCCAGTAATTTGTCATGCACTGTATTTAATGACACTATTTGATTAGCTTTTTTGCATTATTTATTCTCTTTATACACATGCCTCTTTATTTTTATTTATTTTGTTTTTTTTAGAGAAAGAGTCTCGCTTTATCAGCCTTGGTAGAGTGCTGTGGTGTCACAGCTCACAGCAACCTCCAGCTCCTGGGCCTAGGCAATTCTTCTGCCTTAGCCTCCCAAGTAGCTGGGACTACAGGTACCCACCATAATGCCTGGCTATTTTTTGTTGCAGTTTGGCCAGGGCTGGGTTTGAACCTGCCACCATTGGTATATGGGGCTGATGCCCTACCCACTGAGCCACAGGCCGGTTTGATTATGTATATGTGCTATGGCAAAATCTAATTTAGTTCTCTGTTTTGCACAGATTTTGTTTCAGTAATCCTTTTGGAATGAATTATTATTTTTTGAAAATACCTTAACATTTTCTGACTTTAAATAGTATTTAGTAAATTGATATTGATGCATCAACTGTACCTGCTTTGATTAACATGCTAATACCCTTTGTAAATACCTAGCTTATTTGCAGGAAATAATTCAGTTATGTAGCCACGTAGTGTATGCTGCCATTATGTATATTGTCCACTAGAGTTGCCAGCTGTTAGCTGCAAAATTTAAAATCAGTTTTATATTTAAACAGTTACATACCATTGTGGGGAGGTCACCAGTTTGTTTTCTTTTGTTGAGTTGTCTGGCTTACCCAGGTGTGCAAAAATTGCTTCAGTGTAATCAGGTCCTGATGCCTTCTTTGGTATGTGACTGCAGAGATGGCCGGATAATATTTACCAACAACCTAATTCTGATTTTCTGTATTGGAATATATAATTAAGTAATCAAAGATGGGGGTAGTGAGTAAACGCTATAGCAGTAAATTAAAATGAATGCCACCCATGTAGACTTCTTTTAGGCTACTCTTGATATTTTTAAGACCACCTTCCTAATTTTTCTAGCACCACTTTCCAAACAGTATAGATTCTTATGTAGACTTCATCTTATATGTGGCTTCATCCTGATAAAGAAGATAAACCAGAGAGAAATTAAAGACCTTTTTTTCTGATAGTCACACCTTGTTAATTTGGGTTCAAGTTTACTTTGGCAGTATTTTTGTGAAAGGCTATGTTAAATAAAAGCATAGTAAGACTGTATCAAAACTTTTTGAAACAACCATTTTTATAAGAAGCATGTTTTTAATTTATGTATTCACCAACATACAGATAGGTTATTAATGTGAATCTCTTAGAGCTCTAGTAAGAAGAGGTATGAGGTAATACTTTTTCCTTCTTTGAGTTACTACAAGCATTTAAAAATAAATTGATTTCTTTTAAAGTTATTGCCTTGGACATTTCGTAATTTACATTTACTTTTACTTTATTTGAATAGCTATTTTGTGCATCATATCCTTACTTAACTTTACCTAGTTTAATGTGTTGGTTAGTTAATGGTATCAATATCTAACTAGGGCTTCTGACCTCTAACTTTCCCACTTTATTTGCCATGATAGGTTTATTTACTGAGATTTTTGTTCTAGTTTGTCTTTAGAAATTGACCTTAGACATTTACCTGCCCCAAGTAAATGTTAAGCTTTTTAGTTTTTTTTTTTTTTTTTTT